AATAAAGCAAAAAAAAAATCACAGAAATTATTATTATGTAGCAAAAAATCCAAGTGTTCCTTAACGAAGCAAAAAATACATTTAAAAAAATTGATAGCAGACAAATTTTCTTTTTTTTCTTGTTGAATACTTCAAAAATATTTGGATATGTAAAATGAAAAATTTTTTCACTTATTTGGCTCAAATTGGAAATGCAAAAAAACATTTACCTTTTATATTATATAACTTTATTTCAGTATATTCTTCTTTTCAGTAGAAAATTGGCTACTTGAAAATGTTGCTTACATAAGTCATCAACCTCAAATTCAAAACTTGACCGTTCTGAAAGAAATTTTTTTTCCCTTTCTTCTTTTTCGTCCATTTTCTACTGCATTTTCCCTCTAGATAGTTAATCAAGAAGAATAAGACTGATCTTGAGACAACAAAAAAGATAAAAAATAGAGAAAAAATGTACATTTGTGTGTAATGTGTGTATATATAAAAGTGTGTGCTGTTCAAAAAATTTTGACACTTCAGTTTTCTCGCACAAAAGTGAGGAAGAGCTGTAGAAAAAGACTTGCGATAAACCTTTTTGAAATTTTTTTTCAAATATTCCTCAACATAACCAAATGAATATCCAAATAATCACCCAAAATATGCCGACAAAATGCTTTGAACATAACTGCAATTGCTTCTTATTCATCCTTTAAAAACATTAATAATAGCTGTATTTACTGCATGGAGAAAAATCTTTGCTCAATTTTCAGTTTGTCGCAGATTTTTTGAATTGAAAGACTTGAATGTTTTTAGCAGAATTTAGCTTCAAAGAAATAAAGTAGGAAGTAAATAAAAATACAGTTTTTTGTAACATTTTCAGATTTTGCATCAAATTACATTGATCAACAATTTAAAACAATATTTTTATAATGTGTATCAATGATACAGCTTATCATAGTTACTTGCAGCAGTAAGGTAGTATCCTAGACTGCTGTTACTTCAAAGTCTGCAAATTTAAGTCATCAAAAAGTTGTGCTAAAAAGGAATACAGATTTACTTACACCTTTTTTTTTGCTGAACAGTTAGTTCTTACAGTTGTCGTTAGTCAATTTTTACTTTATTTCAATTTTTACTTATGAAAAGTAATAAAACCTTTTCAGGTTTTTTTCAAGATTCTTGCAATAAAACCTTTCTAATCGTTTTTTGGAAATTTTAATTCATTCTACATTTGTTTTTGGCTGTAAACAACATATATTCGCTGTTTAAGTCAGTGAGTATCGCAAACGATAGACATGCAGCAGTACATTTTTTACAACATCCGTACTTACTCCAAAAGTTACTGGTTCTAGTTTTTTTTTAAACCTCCACGATAAGAATACAATATTACATTTCACAGGTTAGCATTAGTGAGAAACTAAATACCTTAAAGATCATTTTTTGTGCTACAAAAATACGCCTGAGAGCAGAAAACGTTAAAGAAAGTGCAAAAAACTGTACTCTTACCTTCAAAGTCATCATTTTTCTCAAATCGCAGAGCCATTCTTTAAAAATATAAAAGTCTCAACTACTTCTTTGCAGCTTTATTGCCCATGCAAGAAAAAACCATTAAAAAATATCTTTAAAAAATTTTTTCTTTTTACCGGTAACCACCTATTCAATAAATCAAAAAATTTTTTAAACCTGTCAAAACCGATTATATTGTCCAAAAATCGCACTTCTTTTCACCTTTCACCGGATTTTTAGTTCTTTATTTAAAGTGCCGTTTTTTAGCCAAACTTTTCTAATCCGTATCTGCGATTCAAAACCTAAGATTAGCGAATCTGTAAGTTGATGAAGATCACGAATTTTTACACGGGAATGTTTTGAATGTAAATAGGCTTAAAGTCGTTCTGCGACAAATTTTACAATATCAAAAATTTTTGTCCTGGTATTTAGACTGCACCATTTATAGAAATATATGCTGAGCACGTACTTCTAAATTAGCCTTCTGTTACTGTGACAGGTTCTGTTACTGAAAGTTAAGAACTTGAAAAGGCCAAAAATTTTGTAGGTTTGCCTGCCATACATGATAATATTGAGAGATTTTTGAGAAAAATTTAACACGAAGTAGAAGACACACGGATCTAGTAGACAGAAGGTACATCACTATCTGCTTCGAAAGTTTTTTTTTTATTTGAAAAATGTGAACTGGAGAAAGAAGTTATTAAAGAAGCTTTCAGCCCCAAGAATTAAACTACTTCCGATTTGTTTGCTAAATTTCAACAGTAGCATACAACCTTAAGCAGCTGTGCATCAACCAAAAAACCTGTGACAAAAATTATCATTACCTAATTTTCACAAAGATTGATGGAAAACAGTAAGGTGGATAATCATTGTTGACCGCGCTATAATTTTTTTTTATCAGACAGATTTTAAGTACAGTTCCATTCAAGATATCGCTTTGCACTCTTTGCTCATAATGACTTGAAAGCCAATAGTGTATAAGCCGTCATTACTTTTTCTCAGTGCAATATCTCTAAGTAATCACTGCCACATAATATTTCTGAGTAAAATAAAACGCCTCACAGCTTCTACTTGTCGAGACATTTTAACCATATGCTCCTCCCTGTCCTGTTTCGCTCTCAATCTCATTAATAACAAATAGCAATTCTTTTCAAAAGCATCATATCAAAATCACTTTTCTGTTCATAAACTCAGCACTTTACCTGGACTATCATCCGCAGCATCTTAATATCCAAGAAACAAAAAACCAGTACCTGTAACAGCCGTTGTCTTCGGAAGGATTTTTTTTTTGATAACTATGAGTAAAAATGAGGGAGAGTCTCACAGATGACGCAGACGGTGAGCAAATACGGATTGCAGAGAATCAGTTCAAAGCATGACCACAAATAACGGCCAGTTGCACAGCTATCGCATAAACCTGTGATGTTGATATGCGAGAGGTAATTGCTGCGCTCAACATCTCACCTCCTTTGAATCATTGCTGCTTTCTATTTTGCTTATTTCAAACACCAGTTCTTTATATTTTCTAATATTGCTTTGTTATCAACGCTCACATTCGCTTAAACTTATTCGTGTTGACTAGGATTTCGCTACCACCGTTTCACACAAATAAGAATGAAAACAGTCGCTTTCGTAATTGCATGAGGGTATATTTATGATTAAGTAACTCCATTGAAGTCCATTCTGGTTGTTCCACAGATTTCACTCATCAAACTCGTGAGTGAAATTTATGGAACAAGGAAGCTCGTACCATTGCGAACTCTCCAAAAAAAACGGTGAGAAGCAATTACGGGGCAACAAGAGAAACAAAGGTGAAGAACATGATAAACAATTTAAACATTTCTGTAATTATGTTCTCAAGTCGAAGGCCAACTGACCGTGAGTCATCAACAACGGAAATGAATGCAACCACTCATTAAGCTAAGAAACGCTGTCCTGTAAAACGTAGCCCTACTATACAGTTGACGGCTTAACAAACGCAGTTAGGAAATCTTTTACAGATCCCTTAAAGTGTCCATGGTGCTCCATGACAGCGTCAGGAGTGTAAGAAAGCATGATTAGCAACGATAGTTCTGTGCATTTTGATTCAAAAAACTTAATAGACACAGCAGATGTTAAAATTACTGCTTACTCCTTCAGATAAATCCGCCAAGCCATGAGAAAGTTACAAAATGCACATTTTTTTGAGCATTTGGTATAAATACCGTCTTAGTGTGCAGACTGAGAAAAACGACTGTTGGTCTGCAGCGTAGCTGCTTAAATCCACATATTAACCGCCCAAAAGATCAGAGTGTACAATCAAAACATAACAAATAGAAAGATAAAGTAAATTGTCAGATTGTCAGAAAAATTGCATTATACACGGCAGATTTGTCCCGTCAAATCCAGAAAGTTTGGACCCTAACAATAACTCAAACTACCCCACAAAAACTAGCTGACAAACCACTCTTACTTGTAGGACCCTAGAACCTTGCCGAACACCGTTGAAGGCTGCCATAAAATGTCTCAAAAGTGGCAACCAAGGTACTTGCTGTCATATAAAATACTTGCAGCCTTTATAAATCACTCCTCTATATCAATGTTTCCTGATAAATCTCAAAAACCACTAGCATTTGCATGTTACCGTGTTGTTCGCACCACATAACAAAGTGACCGCCAACTCCAGCTTTTTTTTTTCCATTTAAAGACTCCTTATTCGTAAAATACCGAGTCCCACCTTCGCGTTAATCTCAATTACCTAACTTTTTTAACCTCACAGATGCCTCGTACACCGGACTTAAAGAAAAAAATGATTCAAACTGAAGTCACATTCCAGCTATATTCTATTTCTAGTCGAAACCCAAAACTAAATGTACTTTATTTACTTTTTTCGCCAGGTGTAAAATCGAGCCCAGTAGTAGAATGTGTCAAAATGAGGGTGGTTGTATTACTTGACTGTAGACCCCATGTCCTTCTGTTGTCCAAAATTTTTTTTTTCGCTTAAGCTGCATAACGCGCATGTGGTACAAAACAACGCCTATCATCCGAGAAGATGGTCCACAAATGACCAGTCCTGCATACAAATTGTAAAACTGTAAATTCCTAAACATGTTTTCCTCCTAAAAAAAATCAGGAAACTTTCATGACAAACAAAAATTGACAGTGAATTCGCCTTCCACGATTCCTGCTTCGACTTAGCAAAT